AAGTTACGTTTCCATTGTATGGGTGAAACCAGATCTTTGTAAACACCTCTCGGAACCTTTTCCAATAGTTCTGTTGGGGAGTGCGGAAAACTCAGCTATAAATTTCCTAAGACCACATGCTCTTTAGAGCATGTCGGTTCTGCAGCGGCACCCTGCCCAGTTGCCCAGCCACCGACACCGACGGCGATGTTCGGAGGCGACTTTGCAGACTGATGGTAAACCGTGTGATCGCCACAAGAGCGAGTTTGGAATGGTTAGTAAGAAATCGGATTGAGACAGTTAGGAAGTCATTAGTACTACCGTATAAATTAACGGCCCTGGTTACCGTAAGGCCTTTTAAGTCAATAAGCCCCATAGTCTGGGTTGGAGTAAGGAAATCGACAGTTTGACTGCCGTGGTCGACGATGTCCACCGTGTGTCCAACAGCACAGCGAGAAAAGGGACGGTGGCTTGTGTGTGAATTAGTCTAAAGTGGTAGTGGACTTGCGCAGCATCTACTGCACCCTCTCCTCCCTCCTCCCCCGTGCTCGTTGTCAAGACATGGTCAAGAAGACCAGAAGGAGGGAGAGGACGCAAGTGGCTGTCACGGCTTAAACCCGCACCTAGGGTTACCACCACACTCCCTGTTCCACAACGCACACTGACTAAGGTTTGCTGATAGAAGCGAACAGGCGAGTCCCAGGTAGCAGTTCAGAAGATGAAGATGCGATCACTGGGACAAGAAGTTTATTGGCCTGACGTTTCGGGTTCTCACTCGAGCCCATCATCAGAGACATTCGCAGATAGAGGTGACTAAGGTTTCACAAACCAAGAAAAAACGTGGGGATGGGGGGGGGGGCTTGGATCCCAGCTGGCGAGGCACGAGCCTGCAGCTGGGCGTGTCAACACCCCCCAGATGTTGGTATTTTTTATGGGTGCGCATTCGCGATAACGCCGGCCAGACTTCGATCTAGCCTCCTTGTGTTGGTTCAGCACATCTACCGCGTGACCCGTTTTAGGGGCAAGGCAGGGAAATCAAACACACTTAACTTGGTATCAATACAGACGCTTTCGGCAAACGGAAAATTATGACTGACAAAATGAATTGCCGACAAAGTAGGACATATTAGACAAGCACCGCGTATCCAGCACGATGCAGTTTTTGCGAGAGCCGTCTCTGTTGACGGCTGTTTTTCACCTTGAGGATAGAGCCTGCAGTTGTCGCCGATACAAGCTAATAAAATTCTTGTTTCAAGGACCATCTATCTTCTCTACCCACATCAGCTGTTGTCACTGGTGCTGGATTCGGGCATAAATCTCAAACGTTATGTGGATAAAGTCATTGCTTAAGCTATCGAGTCTCCTTTTCCTCAGGTAAATATACTCTGACGGAAGGAACAATGTGAGAAGTGGGCTGCTTTGGACACTTCTTGATTATTTATTTCAATCAGTTGTTTCAGAATCCCAAAATTAATAAGGATTTTCCCCTCTTCTCTACAATATCTGCGGTTATTTAAGACTTCCCAGTCAGATTACGGCATTTTTTAAGGTCTGAGTATTCCTCCTCTGTTCTGGCTTCAAGTCGCCTAAGTATAAGAGACGCTATCAACTTTTTTCTCAAATGAAATGCCTCTCGGGTAACAGTCTTCAATTTTTCGGTTGGTGTGGTTAATTACAAGAGCGAGACCGAAAAACGAGGACGTGGGTATTCCCTGTTCCATCTAGATACACAACTCCAAGCAATCAGAGCGTAAGGAACTCCGCTTAAGAAAGGGTATTTAGCGGAGGTGCTTTTCGCTTTTGTCTTTCACGAGTAACCGAGATCGGTATGTTCTAACGTTTCTTTGACTTGACTGGGAACCTTATTCTCACCGATTAGGGCGAATCAAACTTTTCGAAAACTTCGAAAAATTATGGATGTATACTACCTATAAAACACGTCATAGGACCCAGAATTAACTGGCTTAGTCTGTGATCTAAGGGTCGAGACTTTATCCATGCAGCAGTGGTTGAGACACTGGCTTCATCCAAATTGATTCCTGGTTGGGCTTGAGAGACAGTACCATGGCGCATTACACGATCACACGATCGGTGAGCGCTCCCTTCTACCATTGATTCCTCTGCCGCTGTCGAACTGATACAAAAGAGGAAGATACTCTGACCACATATGAGTCAGTTTTTACACTCTACGAAGTGATGCCTTTTGCTGAATAGTCTACAATACACCCGTATTCGGTCGGTCTCCTATAATATATGCACTCCGAAGTATTCAGCTAAGTACAAATAAGCATTCCAGCATGGTGACCCGAGAAAGAATAAGTGACCACTGAATCTACTCTATTAACCGCTTGGCATTCCAAACCGCCAGGTCGGTTCCACAGTCAGCAGCTGACAGCACGGAGGATGGGCCCTGGCTCTCAGCAAAAAACATACTGGAGTCTGGCATAACCCTTGAGTTTCGAGGGACGGAGTAGATTTAGGTCTAAAACACTCGCGCCTGATGAGTGCTTTTCAATTGCTAGTTCAATAAACCGAAACATTGGCCTCGCCGTCGCTAACCGGGTTTTGTGCCATTTTCGACGTAGAAACAAAGAAAGTGTGACCTTATCAGGCTAAAAGAGAGCAAGGTCGAGGTCGAACCGATATGAACTGACACTCAGGCCACCCGACTGGGAACAAACCGCGCAATCTCAGCCACTCCGCCGTGCCGACTGGGTGATCTGGTGGCGACAAACGGGCGATACAGCGAAATTAGCAAAAACGGTATGCTCAAGGCCAACAGCCATCAAAGCCGCGTGGAGTTCAGGCCGATTTTTGTGCAGCATAGACTAACAATGGACGTCAGACCAACGGTTAGGAAAGTTAGTAAGTTGACAAGATAGGGCAGGGGAATGGGTAATCCCGCATTGCAGGTGACCTCGCGCTAAATTTCAGGGAAATTAGGACTAGAACTCAGGCTAGGGTTAGGAAACGGGCATAGGTGCCCTTCCTAGACTTTAGCGCAGACCCACCTAAATCACGTGGAGTCCCTACTCTGACGTCTTACCGTTAACAATCCTGTACCAGAGATATCTTCCTCGAAGATAAAACGCACACTACGCAGGCTTCCGGTGTGGGGACTAGGCGACTGCCTAATCCACTGGGCTGGTCTGTCTGCCGTCTGTTAACGCGCGCAAACGTACGCGCGAGCTCACGTAGCGGATCACCACGTGACCACCACTCCGACGCACGCCCAAGGCGCTGGTTGCGGCAGCTGACGCGCTGACGTTATTTTTGCACTCGAAAAAGTGTGGCAGTTGTCGTGACTGGAAAGCTAAGCTTCCTCTCTTAACGTAGGGGTTCGGGACAGAGGAGTGGCAATCAATCTGTTTGTAGGCACAAGGCGGTCCGAATAACTTTTTTCTAAATCCCGTTGCTAGTGGATTCTCCAATATTTTAGTCCCATGCCCGAACATTTGCACACCAACTCCTTAACCTTAACTCGCGAAACGGTATGGAACGGCAGCTTGATATTTTATACTTCCTCTAATGAGTATGGCCCCAATAAAGTTTCAGAAGAATAATACAGACACTGCAGATTGTGGTAGGCGATAAGTAAAACCGCGCGGCACAAGAACCATTTCGTCGGAGATACAGCCACAATCGCAGAACATACGACGTAAAGTGTGCGACTGCCTCCTCAATTGCTTTCGAGTGAATCTGTTAGGGTCACGCCACGTAGCGCTAACATGACTGGGGAAGGCGACCTTGACCACCATGTTGACGGAAGTCTGCGTTTAAAGTCAACAACCTCAACTCCCAAAATCGTGCCTTCGCACCCTAATTTCAAGGTAGGGAAAACTTCGCAAATTAGAGTATGAGGAAGAAAGTAGTATTAACTAGTATCGCGTAGCAGTAAATAGTGCTAGACTATGTGGTAAACACAATGGTGTAGTGAAGTTCGCGGAAGGGAGCAGAGGTATATGCCATAGTCCCAGCACAGGATCTAGTTGGAATTCTCGATACTTGTTCTGCCGATCTTTGCACTCAGCCTTACTTTTCCCATTATCCAAAGACACCACATTACCGCATTCATTGCGTGTAATCGATCAGTCCCACCAGTAAAATATCCACTTAATTACGTTGGTACTAATTGATTTCTGGGTACACCGTTTTAGTTGTCGTGGTTGCCTTGATAGGTGACTGACGAAAATGCTTGCAAAGAGGCACCGTCTGACAGTAAATGTAGGCTGGGACAAGTTGACCGCTTGCATTGGCAACTGCAACAGGGCGTTTGAAAGCAAAAATTCCTCAAGGCTAATTCCGCGCCCGAACGGCACCGTTAACGCAAGAAAATAGTCGCTGACTTTGAACTCCGAACCTCATGGCTTCCTCCATGAATTATTCAGTAACACGTCTGGTCTGGTCTATTTAAAGGAAAAAGCGGAGAATGCACTTCAAAAGGATATGGACAAAGACCTATCACGTGGATTGTCTACTGTCATTTCAGATAAGTTGTTTGCAGAAAGTGTACTTTAAGAAAAGTCGAGAGCTGTTATACAAAAAAATTAACCAAATCGAGCATTAGTAAGTTACTTGCTGACAGGCGCATTTTATAGATCTGTTGTGCCAAAAGGTCCAGATTCACCGTTTTTTTTTATATCTAACGCGTTGAATCAGTTATGTGCCTGTCTTTGCTAGACTGTTGAGACGCTGGTGTAAGTTCTACCCACCAAGTTGTCGAATTGGCGCGTGAACGTCATGGCTTCCCTAGATTACAAGTCGTTTGGCAATATCCACCAACAGTTTTCCTGTGGGAGCGAATGTGCGCACGCCTTGATATGCAGAGGCTGAGTCAACCGTCTAATAGACCTCCTAATCGCGTACAAAGTTCTACGTAATCACTTGGTCTGAAAACAGGCCCAGGACTTATTTGAAGACTCAGTGCAGCACGAAGCCGAGTTCGAACTTTTTGCATTTGCTGATGACAAGCTCGGGAACAAGTCCGAAGCGTCCGACTAATTCATCTGCTTTTCCAGAACTCAGGACTTTTTCCCCTTCTTCTTCTTCTTCTTCTTCTTCTTCTTCTTCTTCTTCTTCTTCTTCTTCTTCTTCTTCTTCTTCTTCTTCTCCTTCTTCTTCTTCTTCTTCTTCTTCTTCTTCTTCTTCTTCTTCTTCTTCTTCTTCTTCTTCTTCTTCTTCTGCTTTATCCTATTATTTCACTCTATTCTCGTATGAAATGGTTCTTGGAATGCGAATCTTCACCAGGAAGACACTAGTCCTGTACCTGGTCATTGCATGCTATAGCCGTACAGATAAATGCAATGGTATAACTAAGCTTTTCCAGCTTAACCCTCTTTCTTTCTCTTTCTTTCTTTCTTTCTTTCTTTCTCTCTCTCTCTCTCTCTCTCTCTCTCTCTCTCTCTCTCTCTCTCGTCTGCTAAACTACTAGCTTGATCCGCCTGCCTAGCACGAGGTCTGATTGCATATATCCACGCACTTTGGCCTATTTACTCAGTATATGTCCGTTTTATGGATCCCATAAACGGCGTTTGTGTCTCTTACAGATATTTATGATTCCCGTGTGTTGACATGGCAACGTGAAATAGAAAGATCAAGAACAACTGTGCGCCCGCACTTCAAGCAAGAGGTCCTACAAAACATGCAGTTCGTAGGTCATGTGACGCTAAGACGGGTGTAGCCGACTGACCGGGCCATTGACGCCGAAAAGCCGATCAAACCAGGTCAAAAAACAATACCGTTTGACTTTTCGTTTTATAAGTGTCCGAGTTCAAACGGCGCGAGCGACAACGACCACCATGTGCCCCCCGATGCGATGGGTGCAGCAGCGCTTACTTGCGTCTGAAGCAGTTTATAGTGACAGCAGACATGCGCAGTAGCTGCTGCAATCTATCCTCCCTCACCCACCAAAATCCGATGGGAAGACAGAGTAAGAACAACCGGAGGTGGGCCTGGGCGCAATGGCTGACAGAGATAAATAGCCCGTCAACGCGTGTCATATACGACCTGCTCCTCACACAATGTGCCAGGTGTCCACAGAAGGGGGCTTTGATCTCAGGTTCGTGAGACTGCCATAGAGGCTACATTAAGAATGAGCCACTGAGCCTGACTCTCAGTCCTCAAGCCGGTCACCCTGCTTACACACGTCTTTTTGACCGTCATTACCGATGATGTCCACCGTGTACCTAACGGCAGCGTGGGCGCAGGGGCGGTGGCTTTCGCGTGACGGGGGACTTGCACCGCATCTACCGCACTCTTCCCTCCTCCTCCCCCTCCTGGGCCCCGTGTCAAGATAGAGTCAAGAAGACCGGAGGCGTGAGAGGATGCATTTGACTGGAACGACGAAAACGCTCATACCCTCTAGTCCAAAATGTACACTGACCAGAATTTTTATGGAGGAAAAAGGTTGGGGCGGCTGTGATCCTGCTAGGCTTGAGTGCCATAGATTACATATTGTCATTGCGGCCTGACTCTATTTTCACCAGTCGGTCAGTCAGCCCAATAACCAACTGGGCTGACTGTGAGGTCTGAGTTGAATCGCCAGATAGCAATCTTCCAATTCACGAATTTTAGCACGATAGATTCAAACGCGTCAGATTTTTTACATTGAGGAATACGCACTGTCACCGTCGACTTCACTCTCTCTTCTCACTGTAGAGCTGGTCAGATGCCGGAAGTTGACGCAGTGGCTGACAGAGAGCCCATCCGCGCGCGTCACATGCACGACCTGGCCCACCAAACGCAAACACCAGGATTACACACAACGGCGGTTGTGCGGATGGGATCCCACTCGGGTGAGAGAGCGCTATCAAGAAGGAGCCGTCGCGGTCGGACTCTCAGTCCACGAACACGCAACTGGGCTGACTGCGCGGCCTGAGTTGAAGCTTCAGTTCGCAGACTTCTAAGTCATGTCTTTTAGCTCACCGTAACAGTCTCAAGCACACCAGATTGTTTATGGTGAGGAAATGTTTTCTGTGAGTCGATGTCACTCACTCTACCCTATCCCGTGCACAAGTCCACTATTCGAGCATGTCGAACAACTGATGCTGAGATTGGGAGAGGTGGCCGACAGAGCCGAGAACAGCTCATCAGCGCGTGCCACACACACGACCTGACCCCAAACCAGGATTTCATGCACAAGGAAGTAGCACGCTCGGATTTCACATACATCACAGGAACCACACGGAGAAAGGAGGCGGACAGCGCACTTTCCTGTTGCTTGAGAGGTGTCCGTGGTGTGGCATGTTGGAGGTTTACATGCGTGGTGCATGTGTTGATGAAGGAATGTGTGGCGATGTCGTCTTGTCTATGGTGATTTACCACAGGTTTTCATGAATGCTCATGTGGCCGGCTAGATCCATGCTATGGCTGAATGTGCGAGAATGGTGCTGGCAATTGAGATGATGGCGTCTGGTGTATGTCGGTGTTCCGAGCACAGGTTTGCCGGTCTCTGTGCGATAGGCTCGCGAGTGACCGATCAAGGCGATATGGTGTGAATATGCAATCACAATGGGGACAGATCAGGACCGAATCCCCACTGCTGGGGGCAGGGTAGTAATGGTGGGGGCAGTGGTTGGCGGGCCGTCGAGAGTGTTTTGATCGGTGGCGGGGATGGTAGTTTTAATGGCCGCCTCCGCCGCCCAAGCCGCCGCCGCTGCCGTCGTCGTCGTCGGCGTCGTCGCGGAGGTTGTGGCAGGAATGACGGAGGTGGCGGTGGTCGACAGTGACGGGGATACAGGGAGGCTGGGTATCAGCGGTGAGGGCGATCGTCGTAGTAGACGCCGTGGGCGTCGGATCAGGGGCGGTCGGAGTGACAGCAGTTGGGTTGTCGGGCTGGTGTACTGAGTCCGGAGATGACTGACGAGACCGAGCAGTGCGCAGAATGTTCTTCGTCAGCGCGGACATGTTGGGAGGGGTTGGGGGTTGACGTTGCGGGTCAGGGGGGACTGAGACATGAGTGCTTCTCTTTCGGCCTTGACAGCGGCGATTCGGTTGGCCTGGTAGGTGGCTATTCCATTCTTCACAGCTCTTCTTCAGCGCGGTGAGTTTAGTGCGAGGTCTTCCCAAGTCCTTCGGTTGATCTATGGCCGCTTCAAGGTGTCCTTGTAGCGACGGGATAAGCATCATAGTCGGCGAGTGCCCATGGCGAAATCTCCGTAGATGATCTGTTTTAGTAGGCGCTCGTCGTCCAGTCTCACGAGGTGGCCTCTCTATTGCAGTCGCAGTTGCCTCAGCATGACATGGATGCTGAGGATTCCAGTCCGTTCCAGAACGTCTGTGTCCGGGATCCTGTCCTTCCACCTTCGCTTTAGTATCCGTCGGAGGCAACTGAGGTGGAAGTGGTTGAGTTTCCGCGTTTGTTTTTTAAAGACACTGGTTCGCTAGTCTGTACGACGGATTCACAAGCGATCTACCAGGCCGATGCGTGAGGTAAATGAGCAAGGACAACGAGGACAGACCTGGACCGAGTCCAAATTACTGGTGGTGGCGAGTACGGTGGTATTGAGGGTAGTGCTTGACGAGGCGTTGGAAGTATTCTCTCCAGTGGCGGTAGCGGGAGAGCTGGTGGTCCTTGCGAGAGTTGTGGCGGGGAGTGATATAGGTGGCGATGATCGATGGTGGCGGGTCATCAGGAGTGTGCTAGTCGCTGATGAGGGAAGTCTTCGTCGTGGACGCCGCAGAGTTTGCGTAGGGGAGACTATGGGGGCGGTTGTGGAGGCAGCGATTGGGATTGTCGACTTGTTATTGAACTGGGTAGTGAGATGTCCGACGGGGCCAATCTGCGCGCGAAGAATTTCGTTGGTAGCGTGGATATGTTGGAAGAAGTAGAATGTTGGCCTTGTGAGTCGGGGGTGCTTGAGACTTGCCAGCCACTCCTCTAGCTTTGGCAGCGGCTATCCGGTTGGCTTTATAGATTACAGCTCCAGTCTTCACTGCTCTTCTCTGTGTCGATCAGTCCTATGCAAGGCCTTCCCAGGTTTTCGGGTCGACTTGTAAGCGCTTCAATGAGTTCTTTAGGGTGTCTCTATAGCGGCATATTTGACCTCCTTGTCGACAGGCACCCTTAGCGACATCTCCATAGAAGAGTCATTTGGGTTGTCGTTCATCTCCCATCCTCATGAGGTGACCGCACCATTGCAGTCGCAGTTGCCTCGGCATGTCGTGGATGCTGAGGATCCCAGTCCGTTCCAGAACGTCTGTGTCTGGGATCCTGTCCTGCCAAGCCAGATTTACTGTCCGCCGGAGGCAACTGAGGTGGGAGTGGTTGAATTTCCGCGTTTATTTCTTAAAGACTGTCCAGGTCTCCGTGTCATAGAGTAAAGTCATTAAGGCGACCGCTTCGCCATTTTCAGTTCAGGTGGAGATTGTGGCGATTCAGTACAGAGTTCTGCAACCGATCGAAGGCTTGGCCGACGTTGGTGATCCAGTGAGTCCCTTCGTCGTCGATTTTGATGCAGCGTGAGAGTGTACTGCCTAAGTAGGGAATGTTGTTCGCGTTCTTCACCTAAGTACCGTTGAAGTGGATGCGAGGAACAGTGTATGCAGCGTTTGGCGGCGGTTGAGGCTAGACCAGCGTTTTGTCCATGCCGATCGTCAGTCCGAAATTGACGCAGCCGCAGATGGCCCTGGTCGCCAGCACGTCCTGCCGATCTAGCCGCCGGAAGAGAACGTAGTCTGGCAGCTGCCTGCGCCGCGATTGGGGATGCATCTAGATCCGCTTTTTCCGCATCGACAGGCGAAAGAATGTGTTGGTCAGCAGGATGCGATGTTCTGCACAGGTTCGCAGGAGAAGGAGGCCGTCGTCATTGTAGTCGCCGACCCAATGGGGACCCAGAATTCCCTTTCAGGCAGTGTAGTCCGTCCTGACACGGACGTTAAAGTCGCCGAGGAAGACCACCTTACCCGCCTTCATTACAGTCGCCAGGAAGGCGTGCAGTTCCTCGCAGAATTTGTCCTCTGCTCCATTGGAGCTGGTTATCGGAGGTAGGAGGGGCGTCGACACCTACGATGGTAGCAAATGCGGTTACCCGAAGAGGCAGGTGTAGGTTCACGAGGCGGTCGTTGACGCCTACGGCAGACGGGGCAGTCGTCCCACGATGTCGTTTCGGATGGCAAAGGCGACGTCCGCGTCTCGTCGCTCTGCCCTGGGATAGCCGCTCCAAAAGAAGGCGTAACCGGCACCCACCTTCTCCACATGGCCTTGTTCGGAGACACACACGCGACGGTTCGACCGTAATTACGGACGATGTCCACCGTGTGCTCCAAAGCGGTGGAGAAGCGGTTTTAGGTTATAATGACGGCGGACTTGCGCTGCATCCACCTCACCCTCTTCTGCCCCATCCGGACTCGTTTTCAAGACAGAGTCAAAAAGGCCGGAGGTAGGAGAGGGTTTAGGTGGCTGGCAAGATGAAACCCACACATAGGCGTACCACAACACTCTCTGGTCCACAATGGACTCTAACCAGAAGTTTAGGCAGCAGAAGAAAGGAGGCCGGAATACCAATTGGCACGGTATGAGCCTGCATCGGGGCGTGCTACCACACCCCAGTGTTGACATTTGCTATGGGTGTGCATTCCCGATAACGCCTGTTGGACTCCGATCCAGCCTCTGTGTTGGTCCAGCGCATCTACTGCGTGGTCCGTTTTAGGGAAAGAGCACACACAGTACTAATCACGATTTTGGAGTTTGCCTGTCAGCTGGCAGCCCTCTAAGCCTCGTGATACTTTAAAAGCATACCAGATTTGTTATAGGAGGTAGTGCAATGAAGTGCTGTGGGTGGGCGCAGGTAGATTTCCCCAGTGTCTAAGTCACTTTGTCGCGCGGAAGCAGTCTGCTGTCACCTTGACTGGTCCCTGCCCTCCAATGTTGGAAATGATTTGGCGCCGTAAGGACTATAGAGTCTAAATCTGACTGCTTCATCCATAGTTGGCATGCACGAAGTTTATTTGGAGAGGCCCAAACACATTTGCGTGAATCTACTCCTGTGTGAGTGAATTCTCACTTTAAATACATTATTTGGAAGCAACCTGTCCACATTCCTAACGCAAGTGCTAACAAAAAGCCCAGTCAGTTGTTTCGCTGGCTTTCTGCTGCTCCGTGACACAGTTGTGTCCATATGTCATTAGTCCAGGCACTTTTAATTGGATTTACAACCTGCAAAACGTATAGGAGGACTAACAGACCTACAAGGGGCTGATGTCCTCACATTTACAACAAAACGCAGAAGAAAATGGGCTATACATGAGCCTGGGCTTGTAGTTAGTACATGCATTGGACGTTATTTTTGTGTATTTTTACTATATAATCCATTTGGCGTTTGAAGATGTGGGCATTGTATGGTAACTCCGGATGTCCACGCATTCCATTCAAAACGTTCGTGTGGATCCCGGTATCGACCCCTAAAAAGTCCTTTCCCGAGTACTCTACCCTAAGTCCATCCACTGCTTCTTCACGAAAGTGGTAATTTTGCCAACCCAGGCGTTCCTGTCGTCCAGGACTTTCTGACTTCTACTTTCTAAGGTCAGTGGAACAACTTTGATCACGGTAGACAGATTGGTGTTAGAAGCATCTGCGGTAGACAACGTAGCAGATCTTTGGAGTGTTTTAAAGTTGCGAAAATTCCAATGGAACAATTCAGATGAGCATTTGACGAGCATACGCGTGCTTCCGATAAATTCTCATTGGGCCTGTAGCAGATCTTGTTCGCGCCCAATGACAAATGCATCTGATGTGTTTGCCAATGACGGAGGCAGCTAAAAATACATGTTCTATTGCTTTAGCTCCATGGATAATTGAATGAAGCTGTGCTTTCACTTGGTGGCGAAGCGAGCGTAAGAAAGGCCGTCCGAATAAACCAACTGAAACCCAGTCGCTGACAAGGACGCGGGATCCTTTTGTCAGCCTAGTTACCTATGACATGCAGAAGTGCGTATGTTTGACGTGGTCGCTCAGGTCTCCAAAACTTATTCTATCTGCTAGCAACCGGTTGTCAGTAAAAACTTTGCCGTCGGTAAGGATAAAGGATCAGTGTTAAGCCTTGTAAATTCCTTCGAATTTAATGTACTAGCTATGAGAAAAGTTCTCAGGGAACGCCCTTTCAGTTTCGTTCCAAAAGTTTATGTGAATATTTGAGTCAAATTCTATTAGTTTCAGCGGGAAACCGCATAATACTTGCAATCTGCAAACGGGCAGTCGGTAGTGCATAAATGTCTAGTGAAGTCGATATAACATACTTTCGGCACGCAGAGCATTGAAAAGTCTGGATGCGTGTTTCTCCGTTTATCCGCTGTTGGATGACGCAATTGAGAGGGGTTCGACCCATCAACGCTCCTCATGTGTTTTCTGTTATATAGATGCTCCCTTCCCAATGTTAATCCCCCTTCCATTTACTCAGAAATTAAGGCATGAACTTGGAGTAAAGCCCTCGGGACAAGTCTCTACTTACTTCTCATACGTCAGCCCCTGTAGGTCGGACTTCCAGGTTCGACCTAAGCTATCAACGTCCGCATGATAAACAAGCTACGGGCATTTAAGTGTGTGGTGTATGGTGTTTGAACTGGCACGCCTTTGAAAGCCGACCAGCAGGCCGATAACATACATTTAAGAGGGGACGTACGTCAAAACTTCCATAGTGAAGCAGGCCAAGCATGGTGCGGGCGTCAGTCAGCAAGCATGGCTAACGCGAAAATGCCGTTCCCCATTATTATCATTCCTCTCCCTACTTCGGGTTATAGATGACCTAATAGCTTCGAAAAAAGTCTCACTCTGTCAGTTCTCTAGAACGTAATTTTTTCCATTCTTATCTAAGACAACCTCATGAAGTGTCATCGATCGAACACGCACTCTAGCCAAAAGCGAAGTATCGGTGGGAAGAAAGTCACCTTTTTCCGTAGCCAGTACTGAATCTTGTCACCCGCTGTTACGGCCCCCAGGTGCACGGGGGTTTGAGGGAGGGGGATCAGCGTTGGCCTTCATGGATTGCCGTTTTGCGTGTGAGCGCGCACATTTGTGTGAAAACCTAAGTAGCAGGCTGCAATGTCGATCCTAAAGTCGATCAATATTACTTAGTGCGCAGCCGTTGCATACCTTCACGTACGTGCCGGCTGCCCGTGTCGTCGGTAGGTGA